TCTGTTCCTGCTCCTGTTCCCTGTCCGCCGGTTCCGACCCGGTTTCTGGTTTTAATTCCGTGTTTTGGTGGATCTCCTGGTTTTGGACTTACCCTTGTGTTTTGGATACCCTCTAAGGATTATTCTTTTGGATTGTTCGCCTCGGCCACGCCTCCCCCGTGCACCAGCGCACCGTGGACACGCCCCCCTGTCTTCAGTCCCGTTTTCCTGCATGACGTTTTCCCAGTGTTTCCCCACTTATTTGGATTGTGTCGTCCGCATAGGGTCCGGAAAGAGCTGTTCGTTACAGTTGGCTTGTGCCAATTAAAAACTTTCCTTTTCATGAAAATTTCCGAACAAAGTTGAGAATGTCATGGAAGAGGAAGTACTTTACTAATGAAGAAGTTAAAGCTGCATGCTGCCTGTGAGCACAAAGCGAGCTGCAACAGTATCAGGAGAAATATTCTGTTAAACTGCTAAGCTAATTAAGAGCTGACTGCCTAGATATATTGTATCAGTTTTGTTGCCTGAGTCCCAAATGAAGTGGGATAATCATTAGTAAATCGTATGCTTAACACTCTTAATTTACTTACAATGAAAACAAAACCCCATCTATATTTAATAGACGAAGGATTTATTTTCTGAATTATTCATGAAGGCAATGGGCCTACATTCTATAATCATTTTGTGCATTTATGCATGGATTAGTGGTGACATTTAGCTGCATTCCCCAAAGAAAAGCTGGGTACATCATTTACACGTCGAAGCAGAGTCGAAATAAAAACAAACCCGCGATATCCCCTTGCACTGACAGACTTTCGGAGCCCAGGCTTTCTGCATTGGCTGTTTAAAGACAATTTAAACCAACTGTCCGTCCTACATGCTTTCAGCAGACAGACTGTGATGCGAAGGGAAAAGTAGGCAAGGGAAAATTAAGGACTGCATTCGCAATGTGCAGTCATTAACAAAACCTCTGTGTGGCTTGTTTTGTCAAGAGAAAATCATCTTTATAAATGACAGAAAAGCAAATGATTTAGTATGACCGATCCGAATGTCGCTCAGTTTATATTTGAGTACTTTACTGTGCAAGGAGAATTAATTTGCATGTAATGTCATTGTCTTGTAGTAGAGGTACTCCTCAGGTACTACTTCCAGGGCACTCCTCCCTGTTGAGCAACATTTTCAAACCACTGTGGCGACTGAGAGAGTGTTCCCTGTCTTTTGGATGAGATGTTATACCACAGACCTAACTACGTGGCCCTGCATGTAGGAGTATGTGCTGTTAACCCCAGTGATCTGGCTAAATTCCACTCTGGGTTCTCAAAAGAGAACTGACCAGTGGATGTGAACCAGTGGACTAGTGGAAAGTGAATGGCACCCGCCCCTTATCCAAGAGAGAATGCAGTAGAACAAGCAGTGGACTGGAGAGCCTAGGCAGGTCTCTTCTTAGAAGTAGGAATTACCCCGTCAGTGACTGCAGTTCAGACTCTGACTCCTGTAATAACTCCCACGTGTAAGAGCAGACGTCTGCAAGCCACTCTAGAGCTCAGAAAAGGAGAAGCAATAACTGACAAGAAGTCTGGAGCCAACAAACATGCCCTTGCAGGGGTCAAGCTCACATTTGCCACCACAGGATTCAGAATGGAGAGACAGTACTACGGCCTGCTGTCTCCTGAGTTTTGCAGGAAGGCCGGGAGGTTAACTGTAAGAGGGAAGGCACGTGGCCAAACATGTAGCCAACCTTGTGCTAGGTCACTGATGCTCGGTGCTCCATCTCCTTCAATGAGC